TAAACTCCCTCCTGCACGCTGTGTTTGAAGACTTTCAGATTGAAGCTTTTGAGGGTGTTCACATCTGTATCAGCGTGGCCCCTGTTTTTCTACATGTTCGTCCAGTTTCTGACCGGCACAGGAGGACAATGACAGGGCTGCAGTTCCACACTTTTCATCTGGTGTGGTTGTTGAAACCCTCAAATTAAAGCTCAAAGTCAGCACTTTAACCACACGGTCTTTGTTTCGTTTTATTTCAAGTCACTGTGCTGGAGAATAGAGCCAAAGCAATGCAGAAATTCATTCATCCGCTGAATGTACAACCTCTAAAAGGCTTCATTTTCATTATTACTTTACATTTTTGATACATAAATGGAATTATTTAGTGTATAAAATATCACTGAAATTAGTCTTCAAATTGCTTCTTATGTGATCAACAGTCCCAAACAAAAAAAATGGAAAACGGTAGAAAATCAGCAAAATGTCACATTTGAAACCAGTAATCAGTGAATATTTTGCCATTTTCTGTTTGATAAATAACAAATGTTCTGCTGATCAACTAATTGTTTATGAAAGTTGTTATTATTATTATTATTATTATTATTATTATTTGTCTGCCACAGAAGCTGAAATTGCAGTGAACATGACACTTGAAGCAATAACTGTAAATACGGACAACATTTAAGTTAGTGTTTCCAGTATTTTAAAAGTATGAAATATATTTGAATGATTAAATGAAATCTTCATATTGTCCCATATCGAACTGGAAATGATGTGCAGGTGCTGATATTCAGAGATCAGTTTAACCTCCGCTCAGCGTCCAGTACAGAGACAGGATGTGTTTAGCCTAGCTTAGCACAAAGGCTGGAAGCGGAGGGAAACTGCTAGCCTAAAATACAACTTCCAACAACTCAAAGCTGCCTCGTTTTTTACATGGTGGTGATATCTCATTTAGCTTTCAAGATGTTGACCAATGAGCTTCAGAAGGGGCGTGGCTCAGCACATAAACAGATATAAGTCAACAACCGTTGGGCTGATCATCACAACACTCACAGCATATGTCCACAAAAGTGCCTGAAACAACCACTAGGAGGCGCCAAAAATTCAAAAACATTGGGTTCGGTATAAAACAAATCAGGCTATAAATCGGAACTTGAATCATCACAAAAATCTGAGGATTTGCAACGGTTTGTGTTGGCTTGCGGTTATATTTTAACAAATTGTTGCAACATTCATTTCTGCTTAGCGTTAACAATTATCCGGGTTATTTACCTACTTCGACCCCGCCCCCTTCTTGGGTAACAAAACTAAAATAATACAGCCTTAAGATAGTTTAACTGAAGTGTTTCAACAAGCTGATTCAGAATAAACTGTGGGAGGGAAACACAAAAACCACTTGAGGGTAATTTGAAGGGGAAAAACCAGTTCAAGAGCTGCTGTGAACTCCTACTCGCACTCTTTTACTCCGGCGTTTTTAGTCCACTTTAATGCGTCTCAATGACACAACGGCGCCGTGTCAATGCTGCCGGGACACAAACACTGATAGGCTGTGAGGGAGGGGAAGGGGCAGCGCATGGCGTCATGTGAGACAAATTAGCTCAGCTTGTTGTTTACGCAGTGGATGTTTGCCGGAGCCACGGAGGGACGTCAGGGGTCTGTGTGGTGGGAGGGTGGCACACACACTGTCACAGCCTCTGGAGCCTCAGTAAACACACTCTGCTCACACTCTGCTCACACAGCAGCCCGAGCGCTCGCTGGGTGCTTTCATTTACGCAGGAGTCTCTTTTCATTGGAGGATTGTTGGAGTTTGCCCGCTTGGGAACGTGTCAGGATGAGGATAAGGATGTTTTCTGCTCTTTTGGATATCGGTTTCACAGTTGAGAAGTTGTTTTTGTCTTGATTGAGGATGGATGTGTGACGGCGGCGTGCCTCTGTGTTAATTGCCAGGTGTGGGGGAGTGAGTCATGGGTGATGTGACTGCTGGCATACTGTAGGACCGACCGCCAGGCAGGTGAAAAACAGGATCTGTTGTTGTGAAGTGGATTATTTGCACGTATCGTAGCGCTAATTATCCAGAAATAAGCCAGTTTTACATCAGTCTTTGTCTGTTTTTGCTTGCTGAGTGTTTTTAAAACTTGAAGTCCTGAAATGAAAACTTACCGACACAAAAGACGGTAACAGACGAGAGAGGGAGACTCGACACTGGTTGAAGTTTCAGTTCTAAATGAATTCATCTGTTTTGATATTGTATTGCCCGTTTAATTCTCTGGTTGAAGCTTTTTCCAGTGTGAGGATTCGCTTTGTAAACTGAATATCTTTGGGGTTTGTGACTGTTGATTGGACAAAACAAGACATTTGAAGACACCAACAAGGACTCTGTTTTATAGGCCAAACCATTCATCAGTTAATGGTACAGTTTTCTGTGATGGTTGCAGAATCACTCGCTGCGTCACAACTCACTGCTGGCAACCCGGAGATAAACATCTGGCCTCTGTGTCAAATTGAAACTTGGCAATCAAAACCTGACAATCTGATTTCAAAGTGGAATTTCTTTAACATAATGATAACATGAAAACCCTGCTGTCTGTAGAGTGCTGTGGGCTTTTCCAGTGACAGATTGCTACAGTACATCTTTCCTGTTTCAGAACCACCTTTAGGTGAAACAAACGCTGTAAAAGTTCCTCGTGGAAACTAGCAACATCAAACAATAAAAAGAAATCCAGTTTTACGATTTTCTTTACTTGTGGTGATCTGTGGCTTTAGTCCATCCACAGAGAGGATAAAAAGGGTAAAGTGCGGGAGCCGGCAGTGTGTCATATGTCATCACAGGTTAGTCAATGATGTTACTGAGTCAATGTGAGCAGTATTGTGTCTGTAGATTGAAGAGAGTCATTTAAAGAGTGTCAGTGATGGTGGAAATAAAGGTTGTACTGTGGGAAAGATGAGGCCCGACCTTAAAACAGCCATTTTTAGAATGGAGTTTGTTTGACCGCTCGAAAGACACCGAAATAGTACAGTGAACGTCACTCCTCAACCCTCTTTCTTTCTTTCTTTCTTTCTTTCTTTCTTTCTTTCTTTCTCAATAATATTTTATAGTGGAGGCCCCGCCTTGCCTGAAAACAAGTGGCTTCACTAACTTTTATGAAACATAGGATTAGCTTCTTAAGCTTCAGTGGCGCCACATTACACAGCAAAGGAAATTGATAATGACATGAGATGCTTCACAGTCTGTCGATTGAGCTCGCAGGCGATTGATTGATTGATCACATTGTTTGTTTAAACAGTAATCAATCCAAACGGTCTGTCTTTTCATTTTAATCAGAATATTTCGTAACTTACAGTTAGAAGTTAGTGAACACTTTAAATTGACTTGTAAAACAGCTTAATCAAGAATTCTTTTAACCTTAAAGAGTTGGACTGTAATCAGTTCAACAGTTTTTTGAGTTAAATGAACTTAATCAAGGAACAGTAGAGGTGCTTTTTTTTTTTCCATTACACAAAACTTAGGCTCTCAATGATTCTTTTCACAAGTTCATTCTGACATTCTGTATGGCAGATTTGTGTGCGAA